TCTTTTTATTGGACATTTTTTCCTGCTTTGTCGAAGATTAGTTCACTATAGAGTTGAGGGTCCATTTCTGGGCTCTCTCTTCTGTTCCATTGATCTATGTGTCTGTTTTTGTGCCAGGACCATACCGTCTTGATGATCACCGCTTTGTAATAGAGCTTGAAGTCTGGAATTGTGATGCCACCAATTTTGCTTTTCTTTTTCAGGATTACTTGGCTATTTGAGATCTTCTGTTGTTCCCTACAGGTGTTCAGAATGTTTGTTCCAGCTCTGAGAAAAATACTGTTGGCATCCTGATGTGGCTTACATGAAATGCGTAGGTTGCTTTGGGCAGTATAGACATTTAAATACTTGTTCTCCCAATCCATGAGCATGGAATGTCTTTCCATTTCTTTGTGTCCTCTTCAAATGCTTTTTTAAAAATTGACTGTTTGTAGTTGATTCTTTTGAATATAAATCCAGATCCAGACAAGGTGCTTCCATTGTTTTGGTGGTTCTGTCTCTTGATCAACAAGAGCCCCACATCCCTTTCCCCTGCTCAAGTCTGGTGAAGAGGCCAGGGCGTCTGGATGTCCCACAATGTCCCATGCCGATTGCTTCCTCATGATGTCATTTAATTTGTTCCTGCATCTCTTTAATTGCCCAGAGACGGGCAGGAATTTACATCAGTTTTTGATTTTGTGTGTTTTCTCGGATCGTGTGTGTGTGTCTGTGTCAGTGGTGCCCGGATGTTGCTCGGTACTTCCCATTGCATCTCACAAGGAGACGCTGGAGGCCCAGCTGCTCTTTTGGTGATGCTCGATCTGCCCCCGAGTCTGGAAAGTGACGGCCTGTAAGGCCAGGGGGACAGTATTTATACCTCCCTGAGTCTTCGTTTCCTGACGCATATGAGAGGAGACAATGCCTCCTCCCCAAGGAGATTCTCATGGTTACAGCTATGAGTGCATGTCCAGACAGCAGGCTACCATGTAGATATTAGGGCTAAGTAATAATTACAGGCCCTCCAGCAATGAAAATTTTCTTTGAAAAAGTCTTTTCCTTCCTCAGATACCTTTAACTGAGAATATGGTAAGGTTCTTTTTATTGAGGGGGAAAAAAAAAAAAAGCTTCCAGTACATTTATGGAGACTGAAAACTGCCTGTTTTTTCACCAATCCACAGAGCAAAGGAGTGATTAACTCCTCGCGGATTCCGGCACTTGAAGCCAGGAGAAAGATTAGTGATGGCCGCGTGGAGCGGAGGTTTGTTTAATAGCCTGACTGGGAAAGACCAAGTTTCCTTCAGCTTCTAGATCAGAGGAGCAAGAGGCATCCCTGAAGGGGAGGAAAAAAGCTATTGAAACTTTTATGGGATGGTTTCCTTTCTCAAAAGAATCTTCTACATCCCAGCCCCTCAGAGGAGCCTCTCAGAGCCCTCCTTTCTGAGGACCAGGAGGAGCATCTTCTAAAGGGATTTTGCTTACGGATTGTCAGGGACAGACCTGCCCTTTACATTTTACCAGTTCTCAGCAAGCTTCAAGTTCAGAGACTTGTGAAGGAGCAAATCCTTCCCTTCCATTAACCACTTTTTTTTTTTCTTTTTTCAGTACAAATCAGAGTGCCCATGAGATGGATCGGGTTCATTTGTATTAGTTTTCAGTTTAATCTCTCTTCCTGCCAGACCTTTTATCTTCCATGAGGGAGAGGGAAGAGAATAAATAAAGAGTTTTATTTGGATGCATCCAGAGGACTGAGCCGAGCCCCCGGATACAGGGCAGATTAATAGGCCCTGTTGTGGAGTCAGACTGGGGCTGGGCCTCAGATCTTCTGGCTCGCTGCTCGATAGGGTTCCACACTTGGAGGGGCTGTTTACACTCTGAGCTGAATCTGGGAGGGAGGGAAGGAGAGGGGTCGTGGGGCACTCTCTGCCCCCTTTGTGCTGACACACATGGGCTCCGTCAGTGGACTTGGCCACCATCCTTTTGAGTTTGCTTCTTTCTGACCTTGGACCCTGTAGGTAACTCAGCAGGTAAGCCGTTTGCTTACAGACACTGAGGTCTGCAGGAAGAGAGGGACAGAGGTAAGTTTTATTGAACACTGCCTCAGTCAGGGTCCCCACAAGAAGCAGGTGGCTGTCTTGACTTAGAACATCTAAGCAGAGAGTCTGCAAAGGGAAGATCTGCCCAGGGTCGGGTGGAGAGAGACCCCAGGACCCTGGGGCCAGAGCTGGCTAACTCAGGACACAGAGGGAAGGGAGATGCAGAGCCCAGAGAGGGAGGTGGTGTAGACCTTCCCAAATAGAGCATGAACCTCTGGGTGAAGAATGCCATAGTCTTGGGCCATCTCCCAGTGACTAAGAAAGAGCCCAGCCCTGCCAGGCAGGTCGTCCAGGGCCCAGATTGGGGCAGGGAGGTAAGGAGGGACAGGGGTAATAGAAGGGGGACGGGCCCATCCAGCTCCAGTACCCACCAGGGCCTGGCTCTGCACTGGATAAGTCAGCACGTGTCTCTTACTTCAGACCAATACCAGTCTTGGGAGTGCTGTGTTATTTCCCCATTTTTTCTTCCACATTGAAAAAAGAAATGTTTCGTTGTGGTAATACACACCATAACATAAAATTTTACCATCTTAGCCACTTTTAAATGTCCAGTTGAGTGGTCGGTACATTCACATCGTGCCACCCATCTCTTATCCTCATCTGGCAAAACTGAAGCCGTGGATCCATTAAATGTGACTCCCTGTCTTCCCCCACCTCCAACCCCCACCCTGGCAGCTGCCATTCGCCTCTGCGTCTGCGGATCTGACCCCTCCAGGGACCTCTCATCAGTGGAATCCTACACTACCCGTCTTCTTGTGACTGCCTTATTTTCAAGGTTTATCCCTGTTGGAGTGTGTGTCAATTTCTTGTTCAAAGCTGAATAATATTTCATTGCAGGGATGGACCACATTTTGTTCATCTGTCCATCCATCAGTGGACACTCAGGTTCATAACTAATATCTCTTCGTGACCCTCCTTTCAGTTCGTCGGGGTGTATATTTTGACGTAGAATTTCCAGATCATACGGTAGTTCTACCTTTAGTTTCCTGAGGAGCCGCCATACTGGTTTCTGCAGCGGCAGCCCCATTTCACATCCCCACCGGCAGGGCACGAATGTTCCAGCTTCTCACCCCGTCTCACCCACACATGCCATTTCTGCTTTCTTTATAGTAGCCATCCTGTGGTTGTGATGTGGATCTCCCTGTGGTTTTGACTTGCCCCTCCTCCCCCCTGCTTTATAGAAGAAGCTCAAACAAAAGTGAACAACTGTCAATGGAAACACGTAGTCGGCTGTGACGGCTCTGCACCGGCTGCCTTCTGGAGGGAAGCTGTGTCTCCACTGCTCTGTGGCTTGGCAGGGAGAGGCACTGCTCCCCATCAGCAGTTACAGGGGTGCGAGGGAAGGTTCTTGCGTTGTCCATGTGTACAAATGGCTAGGGGAGCCTGCTTGGCAGATCAGAGCACCATGAGATGTTTAATGCTTCTAGAAGGGCCTCAGACTCCCAAAGCGAGAAGAGATATCAGTGTGAGCAATTCTGTAGTTCCCTGGGGATGCACACGTTGCACTCTGAAAGAAACAGAAAGAGCGGGGGGTCCTCATCCAACGTAGATTACCTAGATCACTGAGAATCAAAAGCCAAGTACACTGAAATGCCCAGCTGGTGCTAAGGACTGCATTCCCAGAAAGCCATTTGTGGAAGCAGCTTTATTCGAAATAATTAAAAAGATTCAGCCTTTGCAGCCCAACTGGCATCCCACTCCAGAGCGGCATAACTTTTTGTCGAGGAATCCGGCTCCCAAACTCCAGCTCCATGGTAGACGGCTGGCTGTGAGAGCCAACGCAAGTTGCCCTTGAGTCTCATTTCATTTCGGAGTGGCTTGTGGCTCTTTCTTGGTGACTCCTAAGGGAGAGGCATGTGTTCCCAATGAGCTCCCGGCACAGACCTGTGATCCTCATAGTTAGGTCTGTAGGTTTTTGCTGAAGAGGTGTTGATTGTGCGTGTGGAGGGCGCCCGCCGCTGGCAGCAGCGTGGAAATCATGGCTCTCCTCTCTCTGACCATCTCCAGTGTGGGGGAGAGGGATTCGGGCACCACTTCCAAGGAAGGGGACAGACGGTTTGATTTCCACAAGAGCCCCCTTCCCCCAATTTCACTTCACTGATAACTTGCAAATTCAGCTCAGGCATCATGACGATTCCAAATGAGAAGTGACAGTGGGTGTTCAAAGTCATTGCCAGGTCCTGTTCATTCCAGGGCATCATTCTACGAAATGATCGGGCCAGAAAGCATGTTTCAACTCTGCACCGAAAGAAAAAATAAAATCTCGCAAAGGTGTGGGAACCCAGCAGAATCCTCTGAAGCCTTGCAGGCGAGAGCCCATTTGGCTGACAGAGTCGCTCTTGCACACCTGCCGGAAAGCTGGGTGCAAAGATACTCTAAACTAGCTGCGAATTTCATTACGTCTGTCTCCAGCCAAAGCCACTGAGGGGTGCGGTGCTGTAATGGGCCGCCACGCAGATGGGTTGCAAAATGCACAGCCCATCTGTCTTTATCATGCTCATTTCCTCTTTTATTAAAATGTTAATGAATATAGTTTTTATTTATCATTTGGTGACATGTGCGGCATCCTTTTCTGGGAGACAAATCTGCAATCTGCCTCACCGTGTGCGCTGACAGGGAACGCAGGAATGAGGAATATTTTGGTTCCATTCAAACTGCCATATGCAGGTTGAAGGAGAAGCCACTTCGCTTGTTGACAGCAGCATGAGGACGACGGGAGGTCTCGGAGTTCAATGCCAGGCCCAGTGGCTATCAGCGGCTAGCCATGTGGCCACGAGCCTTGGTTTCCACTTCTGGGGAACAGGGATAACCATGCCCTCCGCCCTGGAAACGAAATGAGAGAACTTATGGAAATGTAGTTTGCATTCTCTTATTATTATTCAGATGTGTGCCTGTGTGGTTCTGAATTCCTTTTGCTCATTCTTTCAGACTCTCCATGGAAAGTACATCTGTCAGATGTCGGCCCCGAGATGACAGGCGTCACCGTGCGCGGCCTGACTCCAGCTCGCACCTATCAATTCCGGGTGTGTGCCGTGAATCAAGTGGGCAAAGGCCAGTACAGCGCAGAGACAAGCAGGTGTGTGATTGCACAGCCGCGGGGGGCTCTCGGGGCAGCTGGGACCCGAAAGCAAGACTGAGCATCCAGTTAACAAGAAGACATTGCTAGAAGGAGTCAACCTGCATCCCTTAGTGATATTGGCCACACATGCACAGAAAAGACCAGAAGGAAGAGAGAAAGGGAGTCACTCGTGTGCTGGACTAGCTGGGTTTTCCTTCAATGCTCAGAGGGAAATGTCTCCAACTTCCCAACGCTCTGGCCACACCAACACAAGGCGTTTCTGAGAGCACAGGCCTTGGTATCCACGAGATGAGGCGCTGACCATGTCTTCATTCTCTCTGTCCTCCCGGGCTGCCGGCGGGACGGGAGCTGGTGCCACCATCCTGACAAGCGAGCATCTGGCAGGGCACGGCACGTTCCTGAATGGTCCTGACCTGGGACCGTGGCTTCACCCCATTTCAGTGTGCCCACCCCAACCAACCTGAGCATCGGTGGGGCCCGAATCATAGGAGAGTGGAGATCTAAGTGACTTTTTTCAAAATGTGGGAGTTTGGTATGAGAAATACTAAAAGAGCTAAGGAAAAACACAATTTGGAAGGCATCTCAGGCTGTGGGCCGGCGGCCTGGCTCGCTCAGGCTTGTAATCCCTTCCCGGAGTGGAGATGCTGTGGGTTATCCAGACAGAATAAGGTCACCTCCTGTGTCTTCTTGCTTGCTGGCTGAACTGATTCTCTATTATGTTGATTTGCTGTACCTATTTCATGCATGTCCTCTGAGTTTGATCAGCTGTGTGCCTTGCTTTGTTCATCGCTTGATTTTGGTAAATACTTAAGCTCCAGATTCAGACAGACAGAGAATGCAAATGGGGACCGTTTGTCTCAGATGCTAATCTCTCTTTCGCTCACCATATTTTATCTCTAGGTTGATGTTACCTGAAGAGCCGCCCAGTGCTCCCCCAAAGAATATCGTAGCCAGCGGGCGTACCAATCAGTCCATCATGGTCCAGTGGCAGCCGCCCCCAGAAACAGAGCACAATGGGGTACTGCGTGGGTACATCCTCAGGCAAGTAGCCGGTGTTTGGCCATTTTTAGGTTCTCGTTATAAAGAGTCCAGGGTCTGTTTTGCTGGGGTCGCAAACTGAAAGGTCTAGAGGAGCCCAACAGTAATCAAGAGACTCAGGCTGATGTTGGACTTTAGGGAGTGGTGGGGACTATGGCCAACAAGCAACTGTGGGTTGCTTGGGTTGCAGGGGCAGCCTCTGTATATCCAATCATAGCATAACTGCGTACATATTGAAGCTTGCATCTTGGTAGAAGAATGAAGGGGGATATTACTTGTTGGGGTCAAGGTGTGCTATTCATTCTAAATTTTTTCTTTCTGTTTCAGTTTTTTCCAGGGGCATGCATTATTAATAGAATAATTTTTAATTAATAATAATGCAGTTGACATTATCACAATTGACCAGTTGCTACCGGGCTAGCTCTTACATGTTCAGTATTGCCAGGTTTCCTAGTGTATTCAAAGAAATTTTTAAAAATCTAGCTTTTTACATGTGATCTCACAGTTTCTAAACATTGGAAATGAAGTCTGTATGTTTTGAAACATGGGGCAGGCCAAATTCACACCTCCACAGGCCAGATGTGGCCCAAAGTGTGGCCACTTTGCTTTCCCTACCTTATATGGGGCAGTCAGGCTTCTGAGAATGTTGAGGAGACTCTACAAGAACTTGGCTGGGTGGGAGAGAAGAAATCTGTTTTGTCAAAACTGCTAATCTTGAAATCACACCAAATGTGGGAATTGCAGTGGTTTATTGATGCAAGTAGTGAACAGGAAAAAATAAAGCAGTGTTAAAAGGTATTTATGAAATCTCTTCTAACAGACGGTACAGCCACAGACAGACATATTCGTTCCACGACCTGCACTTTGTGTCCCTCCCCAGCCTTATGGGGCAAGAACCTTGGGTGTCCATCACTACCCTCGCCCCCGTATCAGGCCCGTGCCCTCGTGAGCTTGTGATCAGCAAATACTGGGTTAACAGAGGTCAAAAGGGGCTAAACGTAATGTCTTAGAAAAACATAAGAAGTTACAAAAGTGTAGCTGCTCTAGCTCTGTGCTATTTGCATATGGAGGACCGCTCCTTCCAGTATCTATTGATGTAATCATCCGCTCATGGTTTAACATACCTTTATCCATACGCATAACATATTAGCCCATCACAACCACTTCACTGCTCTTCTCAAGTCTTCCTCAAGCATGTGAATTATCCTCTAAACACAAGCTAGATCATTATCTACATGAAGTGGTTTAAAGTTGGCTGTCCCGCAGGGTTCACGGGGACTAGAGGACTGGAATCAGCACTTGGGGCCCCTTTGGTCACTCTTTCCCTTTCAACAAGAAACTCTGAAAGGGGCCTTTGGGCAGAGGGCACCTGTGGGCTTGGGGCAGTTCCCAGTTCCCTCCCAAAAACAGGCTGGGGCTTCCCACACACACAGGCCCAGATCTCCTGTCAATTCCAGCTGTCACTCATGGCCTGTGCTCATCAGGTAATGAAAATAATTTCCTTGCCCTCCCCACCTGGCCCTACACACGCTTGTCATCCCAGCTGCCTCCATCTCAAATGCACAGAGAAGGGTCCTCAGGCTCCAGCTGCCAAGGGAGGACTTTAAAAGTCAACCCGCAGAACCAACCTCGGGGCGAGGACTTTAATAAGAAAATCTTTCTGATGTTACAAGGCCCTATCGGGAACTGCATGTTTCTCTATTTTGCAGGATTACCACCATTAAAAGGATCTTGTGTGATGGTGTCAGTGGAGTTGAGTGCTGGGAAAGAGGGCATCTGTATTTGTAGGGATTTAAATCAAGAAAGTCCTAAAATGAGGGTGTACGACCCAAGGCCTGTGAGTAGCAAAGTTTCCAGAAATTAAAGGCCCATGCCAAAATGCATTTACTTGGAAACATTTCCAAATAATCCTCCGGTCTGCAAATCAGCTCTGTTTGCAACTGTGAGCCCTCCAGGGCTCAAGTGTCTGTGTCAGACATACAGCCGAATCCGTGGAGGCACAAAATGGAAATAAATCACCACCGTGGCTCCGGCCGTAAGAAGTGGTTAGGATGTGTGTGCAGTAATAAAATATTTATAATAATGGGCAGGGTGCTTCTTTGAGAGGAGCGTAGGGGTTATGTCCTTTAAAAACATTCTCCTGTTTATTTCCATATAAAAAAAAATCAGTTCTGCCTGAGACGGTCTCCCGGGCAACATATCCCACCAGTCAGAGGACAATGCCCTGCACTTTCATTATTAATTGTGACCTTCCCAGACATCCTATGACTATTACAAAAGCACCCTGAGCCGCGGGTCAGAATGGACCAACCTGCCTGCCGCAGAAAGGAGGGCAGCCCGCTTCCAAGACACGAATCCCATGGCTTGTTCGACACGATTGTATGAACAGGCGTCTAGGAGAGGCTATGGCTCGTGCAGGCTTCAGTGTCTTTGCTTAGCATACTTTCTGGACGCGCGGCGTTTCCAAACCAGCAGTATCTGCAGTGGGCTCTGCACTGTCACAGCTCTCCAGCACCCATCGTTTCATCTTATTCTTGTGACAACCCTGTGAAAGGCTATTATGATGATGTCATTTTCAGGAGTTAAAATCCAAGGTCAGAGACGTGACGTTAAGACCATGCTCAAGGCCACCCAGCACGTCTGTCTTCTTCCCAACCTGTGCCTTCTGGAGCTGACTTCTTTGCTTTTCCCTGGAAGGCATATTGTGTCATGATGGGTCCTCACTAATGAGCTCTCTGTAAGCGATAGTGCCCAGTGTGTGCCATATTGGTTGTAAGTGGTCCTGGTCACCATTCACACACCGGGCCACTCTGGGTGGGGGCCGACCCTTGCCTTCTCCCAAATGGCTGATTGTCTCAGTGCTATTTGTTTTGTAGACAGGGAATTTAAGTGGGAATATCTGGCACGTGGCTTATTCAATGCCAGGCCTCTCTCTCTGTGGGCCTCAGCCTTGAAGACCATGACGTCCTATAGACGAACCTAACCCCCCACTAGGAAGCGCGCTTACATCTGCTTGGTGCAGGCAGTTGAGTAGGTGACAGAAGTGGATGGAATCTGAGGCAAAAATGCAGGGTGAGGCATCAGCTTCCACTTTTGCCTGTCACGGAGGAGCACAGCCGTCCCTGCACCTCCGGCCCTCCAGCCAGCTGCTCTCGGGCAGGAGGGGGCAGGAGGACGCCTGGAACCTTCTTGCTATTCCAGGGCTGCCTGCTCTTGCTCCTGTATCTTCCCACCACACAGGCCTCACCTGTACAAACGGTTTGTAGCAAGAGGAGCTGAAAGACTGCCCTCAGAAAATCCGGACGTTCACGAAGAACATGTTACTGCCTTCTCCAGACTTCCGTGCTGTATTTTTAGCTGTCATTCTCTTCGGAGAGCTGTTGTCTGTGGAAGGGCCTGCATATGGGGGGGTTCTTCCTTTTCCTGACAGCAGCAGCCTGGCATGGCCTTCACCTTTGTGCCCAGGCGCTCTGCCTGAGACAGCGCAGGGACCAGAGAGACACTGCAGGCCTCGGGGGAGCTCCGTGTCAGTGTAGAGCCAGACCCCAACCTGCTGTCAAGAGCCCTCGCTCAAGGTCGCCCCTGTCTTCACCCTTGCCGCCCTCATCAGATGCAGCCGTGTCTTCCCGAGGCAGGAGCCACCGCTTGGACAGGATTTGGGGTGTTCCTGAAGCCTCAGTATGACCAAGGCAGGTTTTCCCAGGATAGGTCTTCCCAGCACACGCCCCGCCCCACGCTCGACCCCTGGGAACCAATCCACTTCTACAAACAAAATCAGGAAAAACATTTGCTCTGCCCAATAATGCTGCTGAAGCCCTTTCATAGTACACAAGGCAATTTCCTAATTGATACATTTTCTAAGTCCAGGGTCATGTATGTCACTTTATTTTTTTTTATTTTTTTTTATAACCATATAATGCATTTTTAGCCCCATGGGTACAGGTGTGTGTATTGCCAGGTTTACACACTTCACAGCACTCACCATAGCACATACCCTCTCCAGTGTCCATAAGCCCACCCCCCTCTCCCGACCCCCCTCCCCCCAGCAACCCTCAGTTTGTTTTGTGAGATTAAGAGTCTCTTACGGTTTGTCTCCCTCCCGATCCCATCTTGTTTCATGTATTCTTTTTCTACCCCCCAAACCCTCCACATTGCATCTCCACTTCCTCATATCAGGGAGATCATATGATAGTTGTCTTTCTCCGATTGACTTATTTCGCTAAGCATAATACCCTCTAGTTCCATCCACATCATCACAAATGGCAAGATTTCATTTCTTTTGGTGGCTGCATAGTATTCCATCAAAATCCTTGAGGAGAACACAGGCAGCAACCTCTTCGACCTCAGCCGCAGCAGCTTCTTCCTAGGAACATCGCCAAAGGCGAGGGAAGCAAGGGCAAAAATGAACTATTGGGACTTCATCAAGATCAAAAGCTTTTGCACAGCAAAGGAAACAGTTAACAAAACCAAGACAACTGACAGAATGGAAGAAGATATTTGCAAACGACATATCAGATAAAGGGCTAGTATCCAAAATCTATAAAGAGCTTAGCAAACTCAACATCCAAAGAACAAGTAATCCAATCAAGAAATGGGCAGAAGACATGAACAGACATTTCTGCAAAGAAGACATCCAGATGGCCAACAGACACATGAAAAAGTGCTCCACATCACTCGGCATCAGGGAAATACAAATCAAAACCACAATGAGATATCACCTCACACCAGTCAGAATGGCTAAAATGAACAAGTCAGGAAATGACAGATGCTGGCGAGGATGCGGAGAAAGGGGAACCCTCCTACACTGTTAGTGGGAATGCAAGCTGGTGCAACCACTCTGGAAAACAGCATGGAGGTTCCTCAAAAAGTTGAAAATAGAGCTACCCTATGACCCAGCAATTGCACTACTGGGTATTTACCCTAAAGATACAAACGTAGTGATCTGAAGGGGCACGTGCACCCGAATGTTTATAGCAGCAATGTCCACGATAGCCAAACTATGGAAAGAACCTAGATGTCCATCAACAGATGAATGGATAAAGAAGATGTGGTATATATGTCATCTTTTAAAATAAATACAACTTTAAATTTATGTCTTTTTGGGGAGTGAATTATTCTATTTATTCTACATGTTTCCTTCCTTAACAGTGAGGTAATATTGGTCCATAACACTGTATCAGTGTCAGGTGTACACCGTAATAATTCACTTTGCATACCCTGCAGAGTGATGGTAAGTCTGGCCACCTCCAGTCACCATACTGAAGTTAACCGCTTCAACCATTTTGTCTGCAAAGCTCCTCTACAAAGCAGCTTGTCCTGTAGCATTGACTAGCATTGGAAAAATGGGAACACCATGTAGAGATACTCGTTCTGGTGCTCGGACACTCATGGAACAGATCTAGAACCCAGATGGAAGAGGAAGCCAAGAGATTTCCCTGGTTCTCCACTCATTTCAGAGCTGCGGGAAGAGAACATTGCTCCGAAGTTGTCACTTATGGCTACACCCCAACAGAAATCATGGTTGGAACTTCTGGTACTAAGTCACCATGCTCCCCAGATGAGTTACACTTAAAAAGCCATCTCTTTTCCTTACCCGTCACACCGTGGAGATGTCAGTTCCGATTTGTCCAGAACTTAAAATCGCTGGGAGACTCAACGACCCCTCTTTGGAACGGTTGGCTTAGGAGGCCGTGTTTTCCGGGGCTGCCCTCTGGCCTCACTCTCGTCTGCTGGCTTCATTTCCCTCCCCCTGCATGGAGCGAGTGCGGGTGTGCCCGCTGCCCGGTTCCAGCTGTTTCTCCCTGCTCCCCTGCAGGTACCGCCTGGCCGGCTTGCCGGGAGAACACCAGCAGCGCAACATCACCAGCCCGGAGGTCAACTACTGCCTGGTGACAGAGCTGATCATCTGGACGCAGTACGAGATCCAGGTGGCCGCCTACAATGGGGCGGGCCTGGGCGTCTTCAGCAGGGCCGTGACCGAATACACCCTCCAGGGAGGTAAGCTCGCTTTCCCGCACGGTTGCCGGTCTTTGCTGGGGAGCAGGACGTGCCGAATTTGCCCGCAGCGTGTTAGAAATAAAAGTAAAGGGCCTGCGCCTCTCGGGGTCAGTGAGAAAGGAATCACGTCACCCGGTCTCTGCTCCAACGCTGGAGAAGTACTATAGAAGGGACACAGATGACATTCTAGCTGCTTGCTTCTGGGTAATAAGGCCGGGAGGGGTCTCCACATACCCATCAACTGTCCATGTGCTCCCTGAAAGATTCATGCAGTCACCAGTTTCTAAATGGAACAGTGCTACGTTTCACAGTAAAGCTGGCCGTGGAGTCCCAGGTGATACTATGGACATTCTCCAAAGAGAGGGATTATTTAGAATTTTGTTTTTAGTAGTGTACTGTGATTATTGGTAAAGGAATTTGCAACTTGGTGCTTTTTTTTTTTTTTTTTGGTTTTCAGTTATACAAGCCAAACAATTTACTAAATTGGTAAAAACCCCTCCCAGCGCCCACCCTTCCCCAAAATGGCCAGGCAGAATGACATAAAGGCGGTGGGTCCTACCTTCATAGGCTCTGCCCCAACCCCAACATTTTAAGGCTGATCCCCGCACCACATTCTGGAGGACCTGGGTCTCAGCCGCAGGAAGGCTGGCGTTCAGAAACATTTCACTCTTGGTACACCCGCCAGAAATGGATGGACCCTGTCTTGGAGCGGCTGTGTGTGCGTTCAGCACCCCGATCCCGGTCGCGGGAAGCAGGTCCCCCACAAAATCAACAACTCCTTTCATTTGGCACTTCTAGCCGCTGCTGACTCACAGGTGTGAGTTTATTTGCTTCGGCATTTTTATTGCCACCAGGCCTTGACCTTTATCAAATGATAAGGTTTCTAACTGCCCCCTTCTCTCCCCAAATCATGCCAGAGACCTAATGTTCCTTGATATTACATACTGTTATCATCACCCCATATCGATTGGCTGTCCGTCATCATCTGTAAGTCCATAAAGCCTCCTTTATAAATGAAGCACAGTCATTTCTGCTTCCACACGGAAATATGTCACTGGCAGGAATAGTTAAAATGCAAGACAGCCAGGGAGGACCCGCTCATCCGCACGTGAGGCTTGATTACTCATGGGAAAATGGAGACAGCCGAGCACCTGGACAATTAATGTTTGCTTTAATTCGTCTACTTAATAACAATAAATTTGGAAATACTTAAAGTAATGAATATTGCTATTAACAATCCCCTATTGCTGTTAACGATGACTGCTTCATTTTGGTACTGGGATGTCTGAGTCCCGTGCTGGGCACAGGGAAGCACAGCTCCATCTCACTGAGAAGGGCTTGTGCCTTAGAGTTTGGCTTTGGCTCCGTTGGCACTGGGGAGCCATTGAAGGTTGAGAGCAGTGAGCGACAGGAGCAAAATGCCATATGAGGAGAATGAACCTGTTGGCGGCTGTGCAAGGGAACGGAGGCCACAGCAGCCCAGTGGCCATGGCGACTCCAGGCCCAAGGGCAGTGATGTGGCCATGAATGGATGGGTTCCTACAGCTCTGACACAGTCTGTGAGAAGGGTGGGCTGATATGTTTCTGGTCTGAGACACCAGGGCACAGGCCTAGGCAGAGGCGGCAGGGGGCAGGCTCCCACCTCTGGGTCGGATGATGGAGAGACTGACCAAGGATGCTTTTGCTAGGTGCGAGGATTTGCTTTCCTCTGCTAGGTGACAAATGGCTTCTCTTAGTTCTCTGCCCGAGTATGGCTCATACCGTCGTTCTTTTTTTAAACTCTTGATGAGCTGACATCCCTCGATGATGCCCTGGGTGTAATTTCCCCATCCGTATCTCAGCTTTTGCAGCTGGGTTGTCTTCCTTTAGTCTGGGCGTTGGAGGGCTGGTGCTGGAGCCCCGAGCCTGGAGCCCCTGCAGGTCTCGGGGCACCCAGGGGACATTTACATAATTCACATCTTCCTCCCTGCGGGCGTTGCTGCTTCTGGCGTGGCCACAGGAAACATGGGCATCTTTATCCTCCCTCTGGGGGGACACAGTCCTCTCCTTTACCCGTGTTTTAGACTCTTCCTGTGTGCTCACATGCCTGTAATATCCTGGGGGAAAGGACCCTGTGCTTCTTGAATGCAGTGGGTCCTTTCCTGCTGTTCCAGACGCTGCTGTACTTCCTCCTCCACCTGTCCCTTGGTCACCTGAGAGAGCTTCTCAGGCTTGTGACAGCCTCTGACCCTTCACCAGGAAGCGCCGTCCACCCTGGCCCTCCTCTGAGGGCCATGCCTGAGCCCCAGGGCAAATCAGGGCCAAGATGTTGTGGAGCACAGCTTCGGGATCCTGTCCCTTGGGTGTGGCTGAGGCGCTTGACTCGCATCAGGAGGGGTACCCGTGCAGGGAGACGGCCTGCCCCAGCATGCCACGTGCTCCTGCCGTGCCGGTCCAGTCCTGCTCGGTGGGAGAGTCCTGGTCAGCCACCTCACAGCTTGTAAATTGTGTCCCTCATCAGTGTTCCCACCCAAGACAGGACACATGTAAGAGAGGATTTAGACGCGCAGATGGGAAACACCGGGAAGTGGAGGCGGGGGACCTGGTCTGGAGCAGGGGCAGAATAAACCAGATAAAAAATGATCCGATTAAAAGGTGAGGCATTAGGAAGAAAAATGGCAACAGCAGGGGCCATGAATAATTTACGGAGATAATGATGGAAAGCACGGGTTTGTGAGCTGTCTTCCCACACACGAGCTCACTCACATCTGTCCAGAAACAGCCCTTTCTGGCTCGCCCATCAAGGCCTGACTCCACAGTTACTACTTATCTGCCTTCTAGAAGCACATCGCCTCTGTGAGCCGCAGGTTCCCCGTTGTAAAATTATACCCTGAAAGAGTGTGTGCCCTGGCTGCCTCACGGGCGGGTGTGAGAGAAGACACAGGCAAGGCCTTGAAAACCCTGAGCACCTACACAAATACCGAGTGGCTGCTGTTTGTCCCCGTTCCTCCTCCCAGGGCAATGCCCGGCATCTGCTTTGTATTTGAATGTCTCTGCAGTGACGGTTGTACTGAGAGAAGTGGGGTCAATCTCTCTGCAGATAGAGAAATCTCGAGGGGTGTGAGCACCTAGTGCGTGCCCAATGTCACATGATGGGCCACAGCCCTGAGAGTGGGGTAGACACCAGACACACTGTCCAATTTGGGGCAGTCTTGCCTGGGAGGGGAGACTAACATTTGTGATGAAAGAGCAAGACCTACCCACGAAACCAGCCTTGCTCGGGTGTGGTCGCTTCCCGTCTGTCCAAAAGATCGGTATGACAAGTGTGCGGCCAAGACTTGCCCGTCGAGAGACTCAGAGGAACCTGCCATCAACATGGAAAGGGACTTTATTGGGATCTACGTGGTGGGACTACAGCACAGGAGTTAGGGTTCCACTGTCCGTAGTGGTTGGAAATGGAGTCCAGCTGCAGGAAACAGACCCAGAGTAACAGCTGAAACACAACGGAGGGGTGTTTTTATTTCCTCCCATCACAAGTGGGGCTTGGGCTGCACAGGGTCTTACTGGCAGCTCCATGGTCCCCAGACAGTTGGGCTCCTTCTTTTTGCTTTGCCATCTTTAGTGTTTGCCTTGTGGCTGCAAGCTGGCTACTGGGATACCAGCTATCACGCCCACATTCTAGAAGGAGGAAGGCACAGTGTTACACCATGCAGCCAGCTATGTAAGTATGCTCCTCTTGGAAGAACTTTTTTAGAAGTTCCCTCTGCTGCTGACTATGCATACAATTCATGGGCTGTCTCTGTGCAGAAAAGCCTAGAAAGGTGCTCGTTTGGCTGGATACATTTCTGCCAGTTGCTAAGAAAGGAAGGGGGGACAGACAGCAGAGGGCAGCTACCAGTTTCTGCCTCGCATTCTACAGCGACTCCTGCTGAGGAGTGAAACGCAGAGGATATGCAATTTCTAGACATAAAATTGTGTGACCTCCTGTCTCACAGCCCGCTGCATGCAGAGGGCCTCAGGATCCTTGGAATCACCCACATAAAAATTAGCAGACACCAGCCACATGGCTCCTCGAGTCCTTGGCATTGGGGTCTCAGCTCATGGTCCATTTGGACACCAGCTCAACAAGCTTGTGGACACTGGGGGCCCCTCTCCATGGGCTTAGGGTGCCCCATGACTGTTAATGCCTCGTGTTGACAAAGCCTATAGGACTGAGCTGGCCCTTGCAGCTGGAAGGAGAATAATTTCAATGCCTGTATATTAGAGGGGAAGAGAATTACTCATAAAATTAATTATTTGTTCAGCCTAATTTGGAAAATTATTGGAACATATATGCACATAATTCTGGAGTCTGTCAGGACACCCTGGGAATAGCAGGAAGCACCCAGGCTTCTGGAAAAATAAAGCTTCCGTCCAGCCCACCTGATTTTGTCCTCCTCCCTTTAGCCAAGCGGCAAGCCTGATCCATCAGGGGAAATGAGATGTAATTTGTCCTGACTTTAATAAGCTCTTTGGATTTAGCTCCTCTGGAGAAAGCATCGGAACGCCAGAGAGAGCTGGTGTGGATCCTGCCACCATGAGGCGGTGTGTGACATAGTGGCTAGTCATTCTCAAAGAGAACTCAGAAACGTCCCAGCCTCGGCCTGGGAGACAGAGCCATGCACGCGCAGGTGTCCCTTGCTGGCACCCCCTGCAGACACGGAGCAGCGGACACGCATTGGCCCCAGGGGGGCAGGGGAGGCGCCTGCCTGCTGCTGGGCACACAGGTTGGCTCTTGAGTGCATTTACTGCACAGAAGCTCCCGAAAGACGATCAACAAGTCATCTGTGCCTGGAGATCAACACCATGGCCTTTCGATCCCTACTATTTGCCTGTCATATGGCCCATTTTTCTTTTTAATCCCATTTATCACTGAGATCTATTAAAAATGTCTGGTTTGTCGACTTGGGTTCTTCGCATTCTTGACATTGGCAAACATCTTGGACACGCGGGGGTTCTTTTTTTCAGATTTTATTGCAGGG